AGGGACCTCAGGGGGTCACATCTAGTCCAACCCCCTGCTCAAGGAAGGAACATCCCCAACTAGATCATCCAAGCCAAGGCTTTGTCTAGCATGGTCTTAAAAACCTCTAAGGATAGGGTTTTCCTATAGATGTGCAGGGAGTTGGCTCCGATGTGCTGGAAATCAAGCGTGTCGGAGCAGACTCGATTAACCTGAAGCAGGGAAATTGCCACTGTCCAGCAGACTCTACCATCACATGCATCAGCATCCCCATGCTGAAAAATGGCAGTGGGGTGCTTTGATCTAAAGCTTGCTCAATGTGATGATCAGTCACTTTTAATTAGTGCAGCCACTGTTCACATGTCTCCAGGGACAGATGTCTAGGGGTTGCCCTGACTCTGTCTGTGATTCTATGTCCAAGGGCCCTTATGGAGAGCTGCAATGAGGGTTGGGAGACAGCTCAGGAGATCACATCTAGCCCAATCTCCTACTCAAAGCAGCCCCGACTACATCCTCCCAGCCAAGGCTTTGTTGATCCAGGTCTTTAACACCACCAAGGATGGAGAATCCATCACTTCTCTAGGTAACCTGATGCAGTGCTTCACCACCCTCCTAGTGAGAGAGCTTTTCCTAATATCCAACCTCAACTTCCCTTGCTGCAGCTTGAGCCCATTGCTCCTTGTCCTGCCATCTGCCCCACTGAGAACAATCCAGCTCCATCCTAGTTGCAACCCTCCTTCAGGGAGTTGAAGGCTGCTTTCAAATCCCCCTCGGTCTTCTCTAAACTAAATCAGCACAGTTCCCTCAACCTCTCCTCACAAGTCCTGTCCCCCAGCCCCCTCACCATTTTTGTTGCCCTCCACTGGACTCTCTCCAATATGTCCACATCCTTGGGGGGGTTTGGGGGGGGCGGGGGAGGCAAAACTGGACACAGGACTCCAGATGTGTCCTCACTGGTGCTGAATAGAGGGGAATAATCACTTCCCTTCATCTGTTGGCAGTGCTCCTACCAATGCAGCCCAGGATGCCATTAGCCTCTTTGCTACAAGTGTACACTGCTGGCTCATATTCAGATTATTGTCCACAGTAACCCCCAGGTCCTTTTCTGCAGAGCTGCTGCTTAGCCTGTTGGTCCCCAGCCCATAGCAGTGCCTGGATTGCAAAGTCCTGCACTCAGGATGGTACAGCTGTCCTTATCGAACCTCAGATGATTTTTTTTGTTCCAACTCTCCAATTTGTCTGGGTCTCTTCTAATCAAGCCCTAGCCTCCAGCATATCAACTACTCACTTCAGCTTGGTGTCTTCTGCAAATTTCCTGAGCCTGAACTCTATGCCATTTTCCAGGTCGTTGATGAATATACCAAACAAAACCAGCCCCAGGACCGACCTCTGGCACGCACTACTTGATACCGGCTGCCAACTAGACATCAAGCCATTGATTACTACCCTTTGAGCCCGATGATCCAGCCAGTTTTCTATCCACCTTACAGTCCATTCATCCAACCCATACTTCCTTAGCTTGCTTGCAAGAATCTTGTGGGAAATCTTATCAAAAAGTCTTGCTAAAGTTGAGGGGTATCATGTCCACTGCTCTCTGTGGACACGAAGAGCCCATCATCTCATCACAGAAGGCAACAAGGTCAGTCAGACATGACTTTTCCTTGCTGAATCCATGCTGACTGCTCCTAATCACCTCCTCCTCCTCCAAGTGCTTAGAAATGTATTTCTTGGGGACCTGCTCCATGATTATTTTCCAGAGGCTGTTCTCCAAGTGCTTAGAAATGTATTTCTTGAGGACCTGCTCCATGATTATTTTCCAGAGGCTGAGATGAGGCTGACTGGTCTGTAATTCCCCAGATTCTCCTCCTTCCCTTTCTTAAAGATGGACAATAAATGTGCCCCTTTTCCATTTGTCTGAGACCTCTCCCAATTGCCTTCCAAAGTTTTCAAAGCTGGCCAGTGGTTCTGCAACCACATCAGCCAACTCCCTCAGCACCCTCAGGTGCATCTTGTCTGACCCCATTGACTTGTACATGTCCTTTTCTAAATAATCCCTAACCTGTTCTTTCACCACTACTGGCTGCTCGCCTCCTCCCCAAACTATGCTGCCAGGTACAGTAGTCTGGAAGCTGACCTTGCCTGGGAAGCCTGAGGTAAAAGAGGCATTGAGCACTTCAGCCTTTTTTTCATCCTCTGTCACAAGGTTGCCTCCCCATTCAGCAAGGAACCCACACTTTCCCTGACCTTCCTCTTGTTGCTGACTTACTTGTAGAGTCTCTTCTTGTTACCCTTCATGTCTCTTGCTAGCTGTAACTCCAGTTTCTCTTCGGCCTTCCTGACTTCATCCCTGCATGCCCAAGCAATACCCTTATACTCCTCCCAAGTTATTTGTCCAAGCTGCCACTTCTTGTAAGCTTCCTTTTTATGCTGAAGGTCACCAAAGAGTTCTCTGCTAAGCCAAGCTCATCACTTGTCACATTTGCTATTCTTTCTGCACTTCGGGATGGTTTGTTCCTGTGCCTTCAGTAAGGTTTCTTTAAAATATAGCCAGTTCTCCTGGACTCCTCTCCCCACCAGACTGGCCTCCCAGGGAATCCTGCCCATCAGTCCCTGAGTCCAAGTCTGCTTTTCTGAAATCCAGGGTCCATACCCTGCTGCTCTCCTTCCTTCATTTGGTCAGGATCCTGAACTCAATCATCTCGTGGTCACTGCTACCCAACTGGCCATCCACTTCTACATCCCCCAGTAATGCTTCCCTGTTTGTGAGCAGCAGGACAAGAAGAGCACAGCCCCTAGTGGGTCTCTCCAACACTTGCACCATGAAGTTGCCCCCAACACTCTCCAAAAACTTCCTGGGTTGCCTGCGCGCTGCTGTATTGCCCTCCCAGCAGATGTCACAGTGATTGAAGTCCTCCATGAGAACCAGAGCCTGTGATCGGGAAACTTCCACTACCTGTTTGAGGAAAGCCTCATCCACCTCATCCTCCTGGTCTGGTGGTCTATAGCAGCCCCTCACCACATCACCCTTGTTGCTCTCCCCTCTGACCTTAACCCAGAGACTTTCACCAGGCCTGTCTCCAGTTTCGTACAGGAGCTCTGAGCACTCGTACAGCTGTTTTACATACAGCATAACTCTCCCTCTTCTCCCCTGCCTCCCTTCCTGAACAATTTGGACCCATCCATGACAGTGCTCCAGTCATGTGAGCTCCCACCAAGTCTCTGTTATTTTGGTCACATCATAGTTCTGTAACCATGTGAGGATTTCCATTTCTTCCTGCTTGTTTCCCAGGCTCCGTGCATTCATGTACAAACTCCTGAGGTAACTAGCCAATTGCCCTACTTTCTCAGGAAGAATGCAAAGGCCTCCCCTGTTGCCCCCTCCTGCTTTTGCTTCCTCCAGATCATCCACTTCCTGACTTACCTCAAGTTGCGTTTGCCATCCCCTGGTGAGCCTACTTTAAAGCCCTCCTCAGTAGGTTAGCGAGCCTGTCTGCAAAGATGCTCTACCTTCTCTTCATCAGTTGGATCCCATCTCTTCCTAGCAAATCCTTCTTCTTGAAACAACATCCCATGGGCAAAGAAGCCCAAGCCCTGCTGGCAACATCATCTGCCATGCATTGATCTGCAAGATGCATCTGCTCCTGCCTGGACCCTTCCCCTTGACTGGAAGGATCAAGGAGATCACCATCTGAGCACCTGTCCCTTTCACCTTTGCACCCAGAGGCCTGTAGTCACTTTTGATATGCCCAGGTCCCACCCTGGCATTAACATTGGTGCCCACATGGATGAGCAGCATGGGGTAGTAGTCAAAAGACTGGATGTGTCACAGTAATCTTTCCATGACATCTTGGATCTGGGCTCTGGGAAAACAGCAGACCGTCCAAGATACCAGATCATGCCAGCAGATGCATGCCTCCATCCCACACAAAAGGGAGTCTCCAAACCACCATCACCCCTTGCTTCCTTTTGGGGCAGTGGTCTCTATCCTCCCAACTTTGGGGAGGCCTGAGCTGGTCTCTTCCACCAAGGGAAAGTGCTTCTCTTCTGTTCCTAGGGCTCCGTATCTGTTCTTCAGGCAAACAACTGCAGGTGGAGGTGAAGGTTTCTCCTTGCTTCCAGAGGTCACAAGCTTCCAGCACCCAGCTTCCTGGGAGTTCATGTCCTCTTCCTTCTCTAGTGCTGTCTCTGGCAGTCCTTCCTCCACAGTCCTAGAGCTCCCCTCCAGCATCAAATCAATGAAGTCCTCATAGCAGAGGAAGCTTTGGAGCCTCACCATCTCCTCCTGTAGGTCTTTTGCCCTGAGGGACACCACCAGGAGGCACTGCTCACATCGCAGGCACTCCCAGACCTGCCTGTCCCTGGAAGGACCCTGCAAGGCATGTTCTGCATGATGCCAAACCAGGGCCTGTGTGGACTCCCCTCCAGCATCAAATCAATGAAGTCCTCATAGCAGAGGAAGCTTTGGAGCCTCACCATCTCCTCCTGTAGGTCTTTTGCCCTGAGGGACACCACCAGGAGGCACTGCTCACATCGCAGGCACTCCCAGACCTGCCTGTCCCTGGAAGGACCCTGCAAGGCATGTTCTGCATGATGCCAAACCAGGGCCTGTGTGGAAGTCTCAACAGTGATCGGTCTTGCCTGGACAGACACCACAAAGATGCAAGCAGAAGAGCTGGCAATGGCAGTGGCTTTGGCATTGCCAAGTCCTCCAGCCATTTCTCTGGGTCCCTTAATCTGCTGCCTCCCTTTTCCTGCCCCTCTGTTCAAGCAGAATTTCCCTACCAAATATAATCTGGCCAGGTCACTGCTCCTTGGTCCTGAAAGCTTCCCTTTTCCCTGCTTCTTCTCATCAAGCTTACAGTGGAAAGAGCTGAGTTTCCAGGCAAACTCCCTAATGAGCTCCTTTTATTTGGGACTCTAGTTAAGCAAGGGGCTTGAGTATTGGTCTAATTGCTGAGTTTTGGCTACTTACACTAAGTTACTATATAGGCTAGGTACTTTTAATTAAAGAAAAGGCTTACCTTAAAGGCTCCCCCTTCAAAGAGGGGGAAGGGCAGTGAACTGCTTGCAAAGTGCTCTGTTTTCTGTCCCTGTTCCCTCACTCCCTGGGTACTCCAGGAGTCTACTTTTATACCCTGCTAGGCCTGGACTCGCTCCACACCCTTGTTAGGGCTTTTTTCATCCACAGGCAGCAATCAACCGGCAATCACTCAGCTAGCAGCACTCCCAGCTGCTCAGAGCACACTCCCAAACCACTCACAGCCCATCAAACAAACACTCAGCAAGCCAAACACACAGGCAGCCCTGGCTCACCTACCTTCCCAGAGCAGGATCTGGTGCCTGGCTACTCTTCCTCTTCCCCTTCTTCCTCTTGCTCCCAGCAGACAGGGAGCAAACAGGGATGGCAAACATAGCAGTTTGCAAGCAGCGTGAAAAAGAACTTCCCTCGATTATTTTAAAACTTTGCACCTATTAGTTTCATTTTGTGACCCCTAGTTCTTGCATTGTGAGAGATAATAAATGCATCCCTATTCATTTTCTCTTCACCATTTAGTATTTCATAAGGTTACCATATTTCCAGTTTCAAAAAAGAGGGTACCTATTGCGGGGACACCTCACTCCCAAATCTCAGCCCCTGGCTCTACCAATGCTCCTCAGTCCCAACCCGCAGCCCCCTGTCCCTGCTGCTGCCCCTCACTCCTGACCACAGGCCCCTGGCTCTGCTGGCATCCCTCACTCCCTACCCATAGTCCCTGCCCACCCCACCCCCAGCCACGCTGGTGCCCCTCACTACCAACACACAGGCCCCTGGCACTGCCAGTGCCCTGCACTCTTGGCCCAATCAGGCCAAAATATGTCAGCTACGACAGCAGCTCCAGCTCATGCAGGTGTCGGCAGAGTAAGTCCAGCCTCGGCGCAAGCTGGAGGAAGGAGGAGAGGTCACCTGTAGCACCCCCTGCCCCAGCCTGGGGGTCCTGTGCTGTGCCAGGGTGCCTGGCTATGCCAACCCTGGGCAGTGTCTCCCAAGCACCCCATCCCTGTGAACATGGGCACCAGGTGCCGGTGCCACTAGCCCAGTCATGTAGCTCTCCCCAGCCCCTTCCCCCACTGGAGGAGCAGGTGCCTCCCTCCTGCCCCTGTGCCCTGCCACAGCCCTCGCACCTAGAAACCATTCCCCAGCACCAGCAGGCACCCTCCCTTACACACCGATCCCTTCCACCCCCTGCAACCCGGACAGTCCCCAATGCTTGGCCCTCCAACCCCCACTCCCCACAGACTTACCTGCATCCAACTGCCAGGGCTGCTCCTACCACCCTGCCAGGCTGCATGCCAGCCATGTGTGTGCATGCACAGACGCACGTGGTGCTCCCTGCCTCCAATCACCCTCCCCACACTCCCACCAGTGAGCCAACAGCCTCCTTAAAGCAAAATATCATTTGTTTAGAAGAAAAAGCCTTTTGGGGAAAGCAGATTTTTGGAAAAAGCCAACAAAGCAGGCTGTATGCATACCTGTCTTTCCCTGAAGGCTTACAGATCCCTGAATCTGTGCTGTTCATAGCTGGAAGGTCATTGCATTGCCTGTCCACAGGATCCAATTGAATGTAATCATGCCACTACCCCCGGTATAAATTAGACTGGTGCAGTCCCACACCAGCGGAGTAGAACAAAATCCCGGACATTCATTCAGATTTCAAAAAACCACCCAGATGGAGATAGGAGGACCCAAAAATAGGACATATCTGGGAAAACCTGGATGTACGGTGACCCTAGTATTTTGTAAACCCTTATCATGTCTCCCTCAAGCATCTCTTTTCTTAATTGAACAGGCCTTGTCTCTTCAGTCTCACTTCATATGGAAGCACCACCAAACCACTTGTCATCCTTGTTGCCCTTCTCTGGACCTTCTCTAGTTCTTCTATCTCCTTTTTGAGGTGTGGGGACCAGAACTGGGCACAGGATTCAAGGTGTGGATGCACCGTGGGATTATAGTGGGGTATAATGATACTTCCCATTTTATGTAGAATACCCTTTATTTAGAATCTGTTTCCTGTGTGGTAGAGTCCATTCTAGTGTAGATATAATTTAGGTTATTTTGACACTTATCTACATTTGGATTTCATCTGCCATTTAGTTGCCCAATGGAATTTTATATAAGTAGGCAAAAATATTCACTTCAAGGCAAGACAATATCTATGTGTTATACATATTTTCTGAAAGGGTAAACTTAAGGAAAAAGTCAAACACTTGGCCAAGGTCAAGTAGTCTGTTAGGCTAGGGACAAAAATTACACATAAACTGATACAAATGATAGCAAACTGGTTCAAATCTGTAACACAACAGAATTTCAGTGCACGTAAACCACTTTCAAAATGGCTGAAACTGGTTAAGATAAACCTGATGGATGTAGTATCAGACTTCACTGATTTAGGTTATATTGGTTTATTAAAATTCTGCCCCAGATCCCCTCCAGATTCAAATTAATACATAGTCCCCGAGCATCCCACGATGTTTCGCACCTCCCCTGCAAGCCCCCCCTCGCAGGGTGGGTGGGTTAGCTTTGGTCCAAGCTGTCTGCTCCAGCCCAGCAGAAACGTATGCTCTAGCACCACCCCCGACTCCTGGCCTGGGCCACTGCAGGCCATGGCTGCGTGTCTAGAATCAAGAGTGAATGTCTGTTCACTTGCTTAGCAGTTCAATCTTAAACAGTTGAGACTAACCTGCGGAGATTGAATCAATTCAGTCTCAGGGTTTTTGACTGTCTGTACCTAGCCTTCAAGCCAGGTACAGACCCCAGTCATCCTGGCTGTCATTCCTGTTAATGTTACTCTTCTGCAGACACTTGTATCACTTCTTCAGCAAAACCCAAAAAGTCATAAAATAGGATTCAAGAGATCTGCTCATGTGCAAAACACATACACTCCACATGCAACTAAAAACAAGAATCTGCCAGTTAGTTTCATATATTTCATAGTTTCATAGTTCATAGTTTCTAGGGTCAGAAGGGACCTGGGCAGATCATCTAGTCCGACCCCCTGCCATGGCAGGAAAGAGTACTGGGGGTCAAACGACCCCAGCAAGATGGTCATCCAACCTCCTCTTAAAAACCCGCAGGGTGGGAGCCTGCACCACCTCACTTGGGAGTTGGTTCCAGACCCTGGCCGCCCTGACCGTGAAGTAGCGCCTCCTGATGTCCAACTTAAACCTTCCCTCCACCAGCTTGTGACCGTTATTCCTGGTCACTCCTGGCGGCGCTCGGGGGAACAGGGACTCCCCCAGTTCCTGTTGATCCCCCCTGACTAGTTTATAGCAGGCCACAAGATCCCCCCTCAGCCTTCTCTTCTGGAGGCTGAACAGGTTCAGGTCCCGTAACCTTTCCTCATAGGACCTGCCCTGCTGTCCCCGGATCATGTGGGTGACCCTCCTCTGGACCCTAGTGTTAGTAGATGTATGATGACTATTGTACAGAACTGGACGCAGAACTCCAGCTGCGGCCTGACCACTGCCACATGGAGGGGGAGGATCACCTCCTTGGTCCTGCTTGAAATGCATCTGTGGATGCACGACAAGGTACAGTTGGCCTTCCTAGCTGCCTCCCCACACTGCTGAGCCATGTTCATCTTGGAGTCAATAATGACTCCAAGATCCTTTTCCACCTCCGTGCTGACAAGAGGGGAGTTCCCCAGCCTGTAGGTATGGTGCCGGTTGCTCCTCCCCAGGTGCATCACCTTGCACTTGTCTGTGTTGAACCCCATCCTGTTCTCCTCCGCCCATCCTTGTAACCTGTCAAGGTCCGACTGTAGCCTGTTGCTCCCTTCTATTGTGCCCACATCCCCCCACATCTTGGTATCATCAGCAAATTTGAACAGGGTGCTTTGCACCCCCTCATCCAAATCACGGATGAAGATGTTGAACAGGGCGGGCC